AGAAGAATTCTAGAGAAGAGATCTATACTTCTGTTATTACTAATACTATTAATTATATTCTTTTTACAATAGCAGTACTTCATGATTAAACACTCTGTTAAGTTTATATAGTGATAACATATCTGTATAAGTATCTTACTAAGAAGGTCTATATAAGATAATTCACTGAATTTAAGACAGGTTTATTGAAAATGCTTATCTATATAATTAAGAATTATCTATTACTACATCTCTGATACAGATTCTTACTGATAATAAAAATGTTATAGATCTTATAAAGATAGCAGTTATTATAATCTGAAGTATATTTTCATTTTTCATATTAATAGTTGAATCAGAGAGTCATTGATTTAGAATATATTCTTATCACTCAGATAATAGTAGATAAACTCACTAAATCTCTAGACACTGTGACATTTGTGTAATTCATGATTATTATTATTATTATTATTATTATTATTCTTTCATTATACTCATATACAAGCGGAGCTTATGATAAGTCCTTGCGTGATGTTAAATACAGGTCAAGTGTTGGTTATACAGGAGGAAATACAGGTGTTGAGACCACGCCAAGATAACAAGAACATAGGAAAATACAAAGGAGTGACAATTAGATACATGCGATAATAACTTCCCAGCCCAGGAACATAGAGCGATTCATTGAAGCGATTTGTACACCTCTGTATTTATTAGGAACCTGAGGTGCTTGAGTTCCGGATTTAATGTATTCCCTGCGGGTTTCGAACCCACGCGCCTTGGTTTCCCACGCCAAGGTGCTACCATGTGGCCGCATTAACCATTCGGCCACCGGGGCTGTGATTCATGATTTTGCTAGATCTTACAGGTGTAAAAGTTGGGAATGTTTAATCTTACATTTTGTATTTGGTTTTGACAGACTATCTTGATGATTTGGGTGTTTTTGTATGTGATTCTTGTTATCTTGAGGGGGAGTGTTGGCTGTTACAGCCGTTGCGGTTAGCAATCCCACTAGATCACGTGACCCACCACTATATTATGTTCTTGTAGCCTTCAACTATTCTACATTTTCTGTATACACCAAGCTAGCAACCTTTCAATCACACAAGTTTTACATCTTCCACATAATAATAATCATAATAATGTACAGGCTGCAGAGCTGGCTGTTCAATCCTCTTCATGAATTCAAAGAGATGCATGTGACATCATGTGAGGTCACATTACAGCATTTTTTGCACAGAAAATTGGTTTTTCTATAATAAATAGAGAGAAAATACAGAGATTGATTTACAGCTTGACAACTGACATCCGGTTGTGTAATAACCCTACGTTCTTCCGGTAACTAGGTATGGCTGGGCTGGCAGTGTCACGTGATAATTACACTGTGTCGTTGCATAGCCCTCGAGAGACAACAATGAAGCCAGCTTGTTATCAAGAGCAATGATCCCACATTTCGCTATGCCCAAAGGCGATAGATTTGATGTTCACAGGACTGAGGAAAATGAAGTAGATGTAGAAGAATCTCGCGCCCTGCTGTCCCTGGACGAAGAGGAGTCCCTCGCCCAAGCCGCTCCTGCGCAATTACCCCTGCCTTCGCCATCCACCTCCAAACCGCAACCCCCAATATATATACCCCCTTCGAACGGTCAACCTCGGACCCCAAGAACTCCTAACCGAGTCCGATTCGATTTAGACGATGACACTGAAGATGATGGGGAAGAAGCACGAAGACATCACATTGGCCATCCCTACTCATGGCTTGAGGGGAATGATTATATGAATGGCGATGGATCGAGCGCAGGCCGAAGCAGTACCGGCCAGCTTGCCCCTCTACTTTCCAATATCGAAGCGCCTAGTGTTACTCTAGCTACGTCAGGAGACTTTTTTCCTGAGGACCATTTGGAGGGTGCGCGGCCCAGGAGCGGGTTAAGGAATGCCTTCATGAATATGGCGAATAGTATTATAGGTGCGGGAATCATTGGACAGCCGTACGCCTTTCGGCAAGCGGGCTTAATGGTTGGGATCATACTCCTCTGTGGACTTACTCTCACCGTCGACTGGACTATCCGTTTGATCGTTATCAACTCGAAACTGAGCGGCGCAGATTCGTTCCAAACAACAGTGGAGTTCTGCTTCGGAAGGCCCGGTTTAATAGCCATCTCCATCGCCCAATGGGCATTTGCATTTGGAGGTATGGTCGCATTTTGTATCATTGTCGGAGATACAATTCCTCATGTCTTCGCGTCAATCTTTCCATCATTGAAGGATACGCCCTTTCTATGGCTCCTGACGGATAGGCGAGCCATCATCGTTCTTTTTGTTTTGGGGATCTCCTATCCTTTATCCCTTTATCGGGACATTGCAAAAGTAAAACAACAAGCCTTTTCTTCCCCTTTTGAATTACATACAGCTAATATTGTAGTAGCTGGCGAAAGCATCGACACTTGCACTAGTTTCCATGCTTGTGATTGTGGTAACCGTGATTATTGAAGGAATCCGAGCCCCTGCCGATTTGAGGGGCGATCTATTACACCTCAAATTTTGGCAGGTCAACGGTTTCTTCCAGGCGGTTGGTGTCATATCCTTCGGTAAAGTTGGACCTAGCCATGAATCTAGTGCCTACATGCTAATGTGACCTTTTTTTTAGCATTCGTTTGCCGTACGATAAACTTAGCCCCTTTTCCCCGTTGTGCAGTAACTAATACCTTTTCTCTAGATCACAACAGCCTCCTTATATACGGCTCCTTAAAGAAGCCGACTATGGATCGGTTTGCTCTTGTGACACATTCCTCTACGGGTATCTCGATGGTCATGTGCCTGATTATGGCGCTCGCAGGGTTTTTTACTTTTGGTGAGAAGACAAAAGGCAATGTGTTGAACAACTTCCCACCCGATAACGTTATGGTGAACATTGCAAGACTGTGAGTGTATATTTCTGGGCTGAGCAAATAACAAACCCGATGCTGACTAGGGGAAATCCAGATGCTTCGGCTTGAACATGCTCGCAACCCTTCCACTGGAAGCTTTTGTCTGCCGTTCAGTGATGACAACTTTCTTCTTTCCCGATGAGCCTTACAATCTCGCTCTCCATGTTATATTCACATCGGCGCTGGTCGTTACTTCCGTGGTGTTATCATTACTCACATGCGATTTGGGCGCTGTGTTTGAGCTAATAGGAGCTACCAGTGCCTGTGCCTTGGCATATATTTTACCTCCTCTATGCTACGTTAAATTGAGCAAGTGCAATTGGAAAGAAAAAACACCAGCATATGCATGTATCCTGTTTGGTGGCATTGTACTTTGCACTAGTGTTGTCCAAGTGATGATAAAAATCATCAAGAGTAAGTCAATAGTGTCTGCCGCCCTACTGTTGTTTACTGTTGTTGGATCAATGTATTCTAACACTTGGATTCTTTGTAATTTACAGATGAAGGCGAGAGAGGGACATGCTAGCTATTTACGGTTGTGTTGATACGATATCCTGGTCTGACTTTTCGGTACGCCGTCATTGTTGCATATATAGAATCCCTAATTTCCCCTACGACTCGTCTACGAGCACTTCCATGGCGTTAGGGTGAAACTTGCTGGCGAGGGTATTATTGTACTATACATATACATATACATTTTATTTTATCGACATTCCGGTGCAAATTGTCGTGGGGTATAGAAAGAAAGAATTCTTCCCCCCCCCTCCTCTTTTTTTTTTCTTTTCTTTCGATGACCTGGGACATTTCCGAATCCCATTATGCCAGCGTGATACCGCAGACAGAAGGCGATTCGATCGGGCTTTTTTAAACCACCCAAAATGTCACTATTTTACCTCCCTTCGTCCGCTTGCACTAACCGTACCTCCAGATCGTATGACTAACAGAATTATCGCAAACCATTGCTAGTACGATCTTCCCTTAATTTGCTGCTTCAACCTACGCTGTAGTTTGTGGTAACACCTACGCTGCTACTAGTATGGTCTTTATGTGCGAAGGTTTATTCTCAAACTATGTTTGAAAGGAAATCTGACGGCAATCTTTGCTCTCCGGTGAAATCGTCACAATCTATTTTGGGACCACCCTTGCGTCCTCTACTTGAGGATGCTTCAAGTAGGCTATTTATTTTACTTTCGTTTTCATATGTTCATTTAATATAACCACAATACTTTTACCTTCCGGTGATTTGCGGTGCGATATTTCGCCGCAGAAGACAAATTCCAGGTACGTTGGAAGGATTCAATTTCATATCAGAGTACAGTACATATTTGTCGCACACATTTCATATTTCCCCTGCGATACTCCTCAAAATCAGAGCTCCACTACTCAGAGTATTTACCTCACAAATCTCGCCTGTAGAGGAATAGATACACTGAAGAAGGATCTTTCATGATTTACTGATCCCGACCCTCTTCAAGACCTATTTGCTGTGGTGGGCTTAATATATTATATATCAAGGGACTTTCTTTTATCCTACCTGGCTTTCGGTAAGCCACAGCGATCAAAGCCTGGCTGCATGAGGCTGTCAAGAGAGGTCAACAAGTTCATCGTATATTGTTTATATCCTTTCTCTATTATTTCTAGGCAATATCTCTAAATGATTCTCTATTTTGAAGGATATTGATGCTTTTACATTGAGTTCTTATAATTAAGACACAATTCTTTTCTCAACTTTTGCATCAGTATCACCACGAGCAGAAAATATCTAGACTGGTTTCTTTTACCTTCTGTGAGGCGTGTCCTCTGTTGCTGGGTTACTGGGCCTTTGTGTGCCTCATCCCAGCACCAGCAATGTCACCAAGAGTGTGTTATTCTCCAGCCTGGCCCTAGGGAACAATATAAACTAACATTATCTGGCGCTTTCTTATTCCTTGACTTGGTTTCATCGTCATATACCCTTGTTTCTAGCTTTGTAGCAGTTGGTTTTCTCTAAATCATTCTTCCATTCGCTCTGTTTTCGTCCCATTATCCTGAAAGAAAGGCCTATCACCATATGGTATTTGCCTTGAACTTGAAAATAGAGTCTATTCTCCACTGACGGCGCCAGGTCAGTCCATTCTAGGTATACAGTACGTGCCCTTCTCATATCCTCTGATCCTAAGTTTGAGGATAACGAACGACCGTCTAGGGGATCAAAAAAGGGCTACTTGACCATTAGTGTTGCTAACTTTATCGGAAGCTATGGATGAAGAAGAACGCCAGAGGCGTATGCAGGAGCTTCAAATGGTATCTTGGACATTCAAATATATATGGAGATCCTGTTATTGGGTTCTATGATTTATTTCAGGGAGTATATGCTCACTCCAGTTTCACAAATTCAGGCGGATTTGGGCAGTGCACGCCGTGAATATATATCGACCGTTGATGACGCCCCGAACAAGTACCGCCATGTTGGGTTGGATCAGATCGAGGCCATGCGGGCAGCCAACATGAAGGGTTCTAAAGTGCAGAAATTGGCAGAAGCCAACAAGACTCAGTTAAGTGCCTGGAACAGTACGCATCCTATTCGCTATCCTTTACTGCCTGGGGGGTTTTAGTGTCGACTGACTGAGAGTTAACAGACGCGCACCAAACAATTGGGGGTGATGTCCAGTTGGAAGATCTGGATAGCATGATGTCCGGACAGAGTCACCGTGCCCAGCTCTGTGATTTGATTCAATCAAAAGGTGGACAGAAGTATATTCACGGCCCAACAGCTCCTCCCAATGGGCGCTCCAGAAGTACCCAGCCGCCCAGAGGTTCCAGGGGAATTGGGCGTGGTGGAGGAGTAGCGGGAAGCCGCGCCCGTGGCAACTTTTCAAGAACATCATTGTGAATCATCCCAAATTCCCTGAGCCTTCCCGTCTTATACAGTCACTGATATCGTAGTGGCCCCCAAAGTACTCCTTCACCGTGTGTGCTTGGGTCTGGTGGAGGCCACGCTGTTGAAAGCACCCCAGACCGGCGCCGATGTCTGGACCCTGCACGCTCCGACGCGGCTGAGAATTTCCGTGAAAAAGACACCAAGATAGGGAAAGCAGGAGTTACTCCACGGACCCCTAGAAGTGATAGAGGCTCCGGTGGACTAGGCCGTCCAGGCATGGTTAAAACCAGACGGGTTGTTGATCCAAGGTAAGCTAGAAACTGGTTGGTTTTATTGGGTATCAAAGCTGACGATAGGCGATCAAAGCGCCAACTCTGAGGCAATGTTCGCCGACCCATCAGACTTCATGGCAGTTGCGAAAGTACATAATGCTTCTTGCCCTTCTGATCCCCCTAAGCCAACGCGGAATGCAGCAGCCCAGCCTATGACTCCATCCAATCAAACCAAGCAAGAGAATGCCGCTAAGGAAGAAGTGTGCATTCAGGAAGGAGCTTCACATAATGGAGTGCTGGAAGAACACATTAAAGGGGGAACTCAAAAGCGAAAAAATGAAGATACTATTAGCGCCACGCTCGCGAATGACCTACAGCTCAAAGGAACTATATTACCGGAGCACGATGCAAAGTCAACTTCGGGAAATACTTGGGCTATTCAAGTAGATAGCCTCCCCTCTGGTGGTATTGGACCTGGGCAGACTGACTTTGGTAAACTAAAGACAGATAAAAGGTTTAGATCAAGCCTTCCTCAGCCAATTCATGCATCAGAAGAGTCGACACTCCTGATCGACCTGATGCGGAAAAGTCGATCACCTTCAAACCCAGCATCCGCCATTCGCCCTCGACATATGGATTCAGGAAATATAGCTCCTATGTCATCCTTTCTGACTAATACTCCTCCGTCCATGCGGATGTTGCTGCCGGAAATACCAACCAGCTCGGCTGGTGCAAAAGCAGTTGGGAACTCTCAGAATGGAACTAGCAATGCAGCTCTGAAGGCTGCACTCGACTTGCTTATTGACAGGCTACAGAGAGAACTGCACCAAGTGAACCAGATTATTGAGGATACTCCCGGGCCTATCGAGCTCACAGGTATAGGAATTTATTTGCTAAAGCGGAAGCAGCAATTAGAAAGCGAAATAGCGGAAGCAATTGAGATGGAGAGTGATATTGTACTCCCGTTCAGTGCATTGACATTAGAAGACCCTTCTCATAAGGAGCCAAATGAGGAGCATAATGTCTCTCAAGAAATGCCCATCCCAAAGGTCCCAGTTGTTTCCATGGATAAAAAGGAGGTAGCTCCGCTGATTCCTGGATCGGGGTCTACAGCGATGTCGTTTGGCAAGCCAAATGTTGGCCCCCAGGAAGTTCTGCTCATGTCCAACAACACACCACCGATTCCTACACCCACTTTATCTACTTTCACTAACTCAGTACACGATATTATCGGTGACCATTTATTGCCAGGAAGGAATCCTTCGAGCATCAAATCAGATCTAGAAACGCCAAAAGTACTAAGTGGAAACAGTAGCCTTCATGACTTTTCCACCCCCCCTGCTGGTCCTGCAACTGGAGAAGCAAGGCCGGCGCCGCATGGTGCAGTAGCGTTTGATCATAGTTCCTCTGTTAACCAACTACAAGTGCGAGATACGCCTAATATCCCGGACAACGCAATAACTCGACAATATTTGGAATCTACTTCTGAGACAAGTAAGCGCTCAACTGAACCACGGAATTTGCCTCTAAATGGGCAGCGGAATCACCATTTGTTGACTGCGACACAGCAGTTATCAAGTTTTGCAATTCATCCCCTGGAGCAAAGCAGCGAACCGCCCTCTCCCATTTGCTACATGACTGCAGTAGTACAATCCCCTGTCGCACCATACCAACCTAAGCCTGCTCCCCAGGGCCCACAGTGCGTCTCTTCTCCAGGGCTGGGGGTACCGCCTAAACCGAGTGAAATGAAGCCCATTGCACGGAACTTTGCTCCTAAGTTTCCTATGTCAGCGGCAACGATGCAATATTCCGGAGCATTGTTCCAACGTCAGGAACAAAATGCAGTACCAAAGTCTCCTGACACTACAACACCATCTTGCCACAACCCACCTGTTGACCCTAGTAAGCCTATCACTCCAGCCTTTGTGTCCAGGTTCCCAGTGTCAGCCGCAACTTTGCAATACTCCGGGACGATATCCCATGCTAGCATTCAAGCAACAGACCCCCCGCCGCCAGCAGGACAGGAAGGTCGCAACGCTTCTACTGTGAGCGCCACACGCAAAATTTCTGAAGCTTCTGTATCCTCCTCAATTAACCCGCCCCGACTTAGTGGACTAGAAAATTCCAAATGGGCTACACCAGCAGATGCACCTACTTCACCCAAAGGGGCGAGCAAGGGACGGCCATCACCCAGACCAAGAAAAGATGGAAAAGGTATTGATATGTTTATCGCAGAGATGGCAAAGCATCAAGTCACAGTGTCCCAACGCACCATGGAGGAGTCAACAACTAATAGCGGGCCGTCGAAGCGCCAGAAGGAGTCCCCTGGCCTTGCGAGCTCTAAATGGGCTAGCTAGATTAGGTTTATCAATGCTTGGTGCCGAGCTACGGAGTCTAGAGTGAACGAGGGGAAGAAGTATGAACTTTGGCTGAAGATGCGGTTACCCATAACTGTGTCCTAATTTGCGTTCCCAGCGTGTTATCCGTTTTCTTTGCCCATGATTGATGATCTGCCCTTGCAATTACCCCCTTCCACCGGCTGTATTGCAACACCCATGGAGTATCATTCTGTGAACTCTCCATGAATATTCCCGATGTTGTTTATTAGATGCGACCCACAGTTTAGTTTCTCGCAAGTAATAATAGCCCTGCACTCTGCACTTTTCTTTTCTTTTCTTTTCTTTTCTTTTCTCTGTGTTTTTGTTTTTTTGTTCTGCACCCCTTTTCACCTTCCTTTTTTTTAAAAAAAGAAAACGCCAAAGTACCAAACCCGTTTCCTTAATATTTCCAGCCAAAAAAAGAGGTACTTTTTGATTTGTTCGAATGCACAAGCCAAACATCCCTATGGACTCTCTAATATTACTTTGAAAAATTTCCGATTCTACAAAGCTTCCGCATTGTACACTTTGGTACTCAATTGTTTCAAATCAATGTAAACTGTTTGTTGATAGGTTTCACTGATATACGCATAGATTTCGTTCTTCAGCTAAGAATAAATATAGGGGCCATATCCACGTTAATCACCAGGGACTCCAACGAGAGTACTATAACGGGACATGGATCACCAGGATGAACGGTCGAAGTTGGAGGAGCCTTACAGCAATCAGAACCTGTAAGCCACCATGGCAGTATTGGTATCCAGAAACGTATGTTCTGTTATGGCCAAAAATTTATATCACAAGTGCATCAGTGATATGTAATCGAAATAATTAATGACTACTATTGGTCCACCTGGTTTCCCTCAACGGATGGAAATCAGAGGAGAAACAGGAGGAAGGAGGGGAAGCTGCAGCGACCAACTATAGGAAATGAAAAAAATTCATGTTCCATTTTGCTGATACCAACCTGATAGTAATAAGTAAGAACCGATCCACTACTCCGCAGCGTCCGATGATCTCCCTCCCATTACCCAAATGAAAAGTAAAATAAAATAAATATGTTCGCGGGCGTTGAGGGCCAAAACAAAACAAAGAATCCCTTACTCCTCAATATCATACAAAGAATGAATACACTTATAAAGGTATGGATACCATACGGTGAACGCCGATGGAATAGAACAGAAGACGCCGGACCGGATGATGGGTATGCATGGAGATCAAATAATGATGCTATTGCTGCTGCTGTTGTTGTGTAGTGGTATTTGAAATATTCTCTCCATTACCAACTCTAGTTTTTTTCGTGGGGTCATTAGTGGAATCTTCGCTGCCTTGACCGTTCGTTACATCCGCAAGAGGTGGTCTCTTCCCGTTTGCGTTTTGAGCTTGAGCAGGGGCTATGATGGTATTCGACGAAGCAGAAACATTGGCGGCATTGCTTCTTGTCATTCGTGTAGGTGGCCTGTATGAACTAGTCGTCATAGGACTCCTAGCTGCAGGTGGTACTAAGCCGATACCACTACCACTCACAGGGCGGGGAACTGGTCCTCTTTTTGTCGAATCAGGGATATTGGTTTTGGTTAGATTAGTGTACTGAACCTGGCTAGCCGAAGGGATGGAGCCGGCAGTGTTATCTGTGAACCGCGGAGGGTTAATGCTAATTACGGTGCGAACAACTGGGGCCGACGCATTGTGATTAATGCCCGCTGTCTTCCGGATGGAAGGACTGTCGAAACGTGGGTCAAAAGCAGGTGCCGATTTAGGTGCCTCATAAGGGTTGGTCCTTAGAGCATCGGCTGCCCGAGCAGAGTAAAACCCGCCGGCAGGATCCTGTGGGCGTTTGTCCTCAGGAATCTGAGGGTTGAATGGCGACGGAGCCCTGGATGGAGAACCTTTTGGGCTATCCTTCGAGGTTAATTCGGATTTCGTCTTTACTTGATCACTCGGGAGTGGTGGGGGTAGATTTTGGGTGTGCTTGGGCGGTTGAGGAGGGATAGGTTTTGAGGTGTTCTGTGGCAATGGCTGGGGTCGTGGGGCTGTGGGGGTTTTGAGATTTGCGGCAAGGAGATGGTTTGAAGAAAGTTGAGGGGGAACGGGTCTATTTAATCTTTCACCGGAAATAGGTGGAAGGTCAGGTTGCGCCCTGGAAGGGGGGTCTGTAGTAGCCCATGAACTTCCGGGCTTCGATGGGGTGACATTATGATTCATATGCTTTTTAGGGGCTCCTGGATGGTTCTTCTGAAGTTCGTGAGAGGTAGAATGGGCTTGTCGGGGATTCTGTTGGGGTGGTTCAGGCTGTTGCTGATCCACAACCACTTCATCGGGGCGCTCGGTGTGAGATTCCGCGAAATCCGCCTCATCAAATAAATCACCTACGAAAGGTTAGGATCTATATTCAGCGAGAAGCCAAGACAAAACTTACTTCCGAATTCGCCTTCTAGATCCAATGCGAGACTTTCATCTGCTTTGGCTGTCGGCGCATTATGCGACCGAGGCGGAAGTCCAGTGCTAGCTGGGTTCGGTGGGTTGGAAATCTCATTGTGGGTAGGATTAGTTTCCTTCTTCACGACAGTGTGGGAAGCGTCGCGATGTAGATCCCCTACATCCCATTTTGTCTAGAGATCAATCAACTTTTGGTCAGACAGCTTTGGTAAGCGTTGTAACTGACCGGCGCAGCCTTGACCTTCGTCACCCTACTTAAGTATTCCTTGTCATAGACACAATTCCCAAGAACATTACCGAAAGTCCTTAGAGCCCGTTTCAAAGCATCTGTCGTGCCTTCTTTCTTTGCTTTCTCAAAGGCTAGTGCCTTCGATTTCGAGTTTTCGCTATGCCCGTATCCAAGGTCCTGTTATCTATGTCAGCGTATTCTCGGTGTCACTACTATAAGGAGCGGACCAACCTCATGAAACGCCCCATCCTTCAACGTCACCCTCACAATAACAGCCACTCCCACGCTAATTTTCCCCGTATTTGGATTTTCGTCAACCTGTGAAAGTGGACGATGAATCAGAAACTAGCCTCTGCTGGCGTCGTTGTTGTATGCTCGTCAAACGTGACCCATCGCAATGCCGAACCAACTCACATAATCAACCTGGATATTTTGAATAGAACTCGACCACCCGTTAAATCCAAAAACTTCATTCGCGAGATTGATGCATTTCTCTGCAGCTAAATAGTGCACCCTGAGCCCTCCAGGCCCTTGTCTGGAGGAAATATATTCCGGACCTAATCTTTTTTCAAGGCGACTCTGTAGAGTAGCAATTTCCTGAGCAGTATATTGGTTCAAGCGATGTTCAGAAACCTCAAAAGGATTATTGGTTGTGGCGTTGCCAAAATTCGCTGGAGTCATTCCCGCTGGCCGTGGCCGGTGCTGGTCACCTACCCTTTCAGGCCCGGGAGTATTAGGACGATCAAAGCCAATGTAAACGAAGGTGCATATGATGTAACTTACGCTGGCATAGTCGCGAATTGACTTTAAACACATGAAACCCCAGCAAGCACCTACGCAGTCCAAAATTGTGAGAGCCTGTTGATTGTGAAGTTCAGCGAGACGGGCGTGAGGTTGATGGTTGATGGTTGACAGTTCCGTCGAGGGAACGCGTGCGTCTAAACGCGTATGGGGCGCTACACCGATGGCTGTTCACGTGATATCAATACGATGGTCTCCTACATACTCTCATCCTCATACGAGAGACAATATTGTCTCGCTGTAATTGTGCATGGACTTCGAGTGATGATATTTTGAACGTAACTGGATATCCTAGGCGATCTGACGCCGTCAAACCTATGATCCGGCAAACCATTTTCCTACCCAAACGGGTAATCTCGGGCTTCTACATTTCTAAAGATGAATGCTGTCACAGGTCATATCGAAGGGGAAATTTATCATGTACGCGACATGTCTTCATGTTATATGAGCAGATCGGGAATGTAGCTATGACGTAATGGAATTTTTAGGCAAGCACTCCTTACCCGTAAATGCGTGCGTAAGTTCTTAGATTGGAGATAAGGACTCGGGCGAAACGGAGCGACTTCATACAATTTATTTTTATCAATGCCATAGGTATTCGCTATAAACAATGCCAAATGAACCATTATGTGCTCTTTTAATTCTATGCAATAGTTGGGGGATGCTATAGCAACCACACAATAAAAAAGCACAGAGGATCATGATATGAAGGTAAATTAAAAAATAGAATAAAACAGAAGAAGCAGAAGTAGAATAACAAAAACTACTTCACAATCAAGCTTGCACTGGGAATTAACCCAAGCTGCTTAAGTGTCTCTCCGAATGACTCTGCATCGAACACTTTCCGAGGGAAATTCTGCGTAAAGCTCTCAACCTCCATCCCAATTTCCTGAGTCACTGCCGCGGCCACCTCGAACAGGGTCGTATCGACGGGAAAAGTTTTCATAACATTGCCAGTTGGTGTTTGCAAACGTAATCGAGATTCTGTATAGGCCGAAGCCGGTTTCGACGTAGCGGGTGTGGTTGGAGCAAGGCTTGTTGCGGGCACGGCGGCAGGGGGCGGGGCACGACCTTGCCGCTCAGCTTTTTCCCTCTCAGCGCGCACCCGCCTCTCTTCCTTATCAGCTTCGATCCTGGCTCTTATACGTGCCCTGGCTTCTACTTCCTCTTGCTTTTCCCGTCGTTTCTTCGCAACTTCTTTCAGCTGTTCTTTTTTTTGGAGCTCTTCCTTGAGATCTTGTGTCTCCTTTGTGGACTTTTTTCGTATTTCCTAAAATTTATTTTGCGTCAATTCAACCTTTAAAGAAAAACAGAGGGAAAAACGCAAGTTGTCACAGGAGAGAGGCCAATCTATATATACGCAAATCTCATCCAGTGGGTTTCACTAACCTCGTTCCTCTTCTGGTCACTTTTATCCTGCTCCAACATCTGCGCCTTCTTTGCAGCTAGCTTCTGCCGCAACTCCTCCAGTCTAGCCTTTTTCTCCTCCTCGGTCAGCGGGGCAATTTCCTCCGTCGATTCCGAAAAGTCAACATGCTCCGTCTTCGATGCGTGGAATTCAGCTTGGGCCTGGCTGCGGAACCGCTTCCCGCACTGGTTGCAGACAAGACTTCTCGCTTCTTCGCCCGGTTTCAACGCTGGTGGCTCATCTGGGTCGATGCCCAGCTGGGTAGTGGCGGAGGTGGAAGCTTTGATTTCGTCGAGGGATTTCTCTTGGTTGGCTTCGAGCCATTCGAGGGCTCCTTGTACTACAGCAGAACCATATGCTTAGACTTGATAGTGGAGGTACGGATGGTCAGAGAAAGTGTACATATAACAACGGAGAGCACTTACATCCTCCTGTTTTGGATACAGCTAACTGAGCCCTCTCTGCATCAAATCCCATGTCGATGAGTTGTGCTAGATCTGAGGGCATGGTTGCGGAAGGTTCTTGGTAGGTGTGACGTGGGTGGATTGTACAGAGCTAGAGGGAGAAGAGAAGATCTAATAGGAGAGAATGCAGAGTGAATTATATGATAGATAGAGGGAGAATCCAGGCGACTCAGTTCGCGTTGACATGCACCTTTCGTTCTGGATTGCCTCTCGCCCGCTGCTAGTCAGTTATTAGTGCGGCAGATCCAGCAGAAGGAGAATGAAGTCATAGCTTAATGTTTATTTTTACACGTGCCTTCGCTTACTGTTAGAGGATAACGTTGTCATCTATAATCACACTGATACTGAATAAAATTGAAAGAAAAAATAGGTTTATTTAATAAATATTGTATAAAGTCATTAGAATAATATTTAACTGAGCTCTCTTAACTATAAGATTGTCATAACTTGGTGAAATTATTGACAATTTCTATCATTTCTATATACATTTATCACTGAAAAGTTGGGAATTTGAGAAGAGCAGATATCAAGAGAATTAGATTTTAAAAGTAGAGTAATTTTATAAAGAATTCAGTGAGATTTTTCTGAGCAGAACTCAGAGTTAATATTTATATTAATAATACTATTGAAATTGAGGTTTTCTTAACTGATAAAATCAGAAATTATACTCTGTATTACTTTTTCAGAGTTGATAGATCTTCAGAGAGCAGACTTATCAGTGATATATTCTTTAATAAATGCAGAATTTACAGTAGTGATTTATAGTTTTTTCAGAAAATATCTGACTCTTCAGCTCAGAGTCTTATTATTAGAATAAATGAATTCATTTCAAAGTTACTATATTTATAAGATATATTAATTACTAAATCAGAAGTAATAAATTAATTAGTAATAGTAATAGCAATTGTATCAGTAGCTGATATTTTAATATTATCAGTAACTGACTTATCAGAATTCTTTTAATTATTATTTTCAGAAATATTCTTCTCAGCAGCTGCTTTTAAAACTTACTTAATATACTTAATATTATCAGCAGCATTCTCATTATATGACTCTGTCTTTAGAGAATATTAGTTTTTATAATAATAGAGATATTAAAAGTAATAAACTTACTAAGAATAGTAATACTTCTTTACTACAAGTATCATTGTCTGCTCTCTGATTAAATATCAATTCTTTTCTTTAAATGTTGAAAAAGTTAATCATGAGAAGTTATCTCTCTGAAGAGAAAAGCTTACATCTCGTATAAACTTACAAATAAGTGAATTATTAAAAGAGAAAGAATATGAACAGTATTTGAAGAGAATCTCTACAATTAATATAAAAGACTCTATTCTGATTTATTCAGATGACTCAAAAAATAAGAATTTGAATAGATTAGGCACAGGCATTGCTTATACTGAAGATAATATTAATTTTATCTCAGATTTCTGAAATCTAGACTATGAATCTGAAGTCTTTGATACTGAACTATTTGTAATAGTGAAAGCTTTCAAACTCATTGAAATAAAATCTTATAAAAGAGAAAATTGTTTGAAAGAGATATAAATATTCTCTGATAATCAAGCTGCTTTAAAAAGACTTAGAAATAGTCAGATTCATAATAATCAAATGAATCTTAAACTGATCTTAAACTCTGTTTTGAAAATTCAAAAGAGAAGAATATCAAAGCTGATAATTCATCTACACTAAGTTCCTGCTCATATGAATATTCATGGCAATAAATTGACTGATTCAGCTGTAAAAAAGAGTGCAGAATTAAGCAGATCTATTGTAAGAAATCCCGCTTCTTGTGAATTCTTTACCTCTATTTCTATCTCTTGTGTAATCAATAGAGCTAGCAGCTCTTGACTACACATAACTATATAGACTGAAGTTCATGAATACTATTTATAACTCAGCTTGAATACTATTATATATTTAATCTCTATATTTTATCTTTCTACTGTGAATACTTCTAGTAGTTAATAGTACATATTATATCAAGTTGTAAACACCTGAATAATCATCTGTGAGTACTTATTCTTACATTTCAAGCTCAGTCAGTCAGTAATTATCTGTTATAACTAAAAGAACTAGAAACTTATATACTTCAATCTCTGTGAATTCTACTACAGACACTTAGAAGCAGTCATCTGAATTATGAATAATCTCTATAAAAGAAGTCTCAAAGAACTTATTAATTACTCACAGAATATTATTCTCTATATCTGTGATAGAGAAACTCTCTGAACTCATAAATAAATCAATCTCAGTAAAGAATATTTTTAAGCATCTTTTACAGAATCAAGCTATTTTTCTATAAGAAATACTTACTATCTGTAAACACTCTTGAACTGAGTCTCTAGACATAATCTTCAGAGATACTTATAAATTGAAAAGAAACTTTCTTAAGCTGTAATTACTTAAGATTACTTATTAAATTACAATCTATAAAAGCTTTTATAAGTTTGTATTTAAAATTAACTTATAAGTCTGACTGTGTAATATGAAAGATGAAGAAGCTATTATCTATATAATAACAGATCTCTATTACACTGAAGTCAAGAACTGACTAAATTATTTAGAGAATAATTATAAGAGATTTCACTGATCTGTTCTTAAAATCTATCTAGAGAATAAGTTAAGAAACTTTACAAGCTGAATAGAGAATATCTGAACTATGATTATTAATATTAGAAAAAGACATAAGAAATCTGATAAAGACTACTTATAATACTTTATAAAATTATAATACAAATTGAGATCTGTGAAAACAGAGTTCTGAAATAAGATCTGAATGATAATGTTTATAAAGAGACTAAATAAAGATATACAGAATAAGCTCATTGAGTAAGACTCTAAGTTCTTAACTCTGAAGAAACTGATGACTCTTATTCATTACTTACAGATCACTGTGAGAGTCATAGATCTATAGAGAGTGAATTACTGACTGACTCTGTGAGAGTCAGAATAACAGAGAACAGATTTATTAGAAAAAAATGATAAGATACAGAGAGATTCATATCTGACTACTAAGTAGAGAGAGAGAGCTTTATAAGCTTCTGTGAATAGAGTGTATAACAGAGAGATTAAGAAAAAGAGACTCTGCTTTATCTATTCTAAATCAGAACATCTTTATACAAACTATCTAAATAAATTAAAATAGAAATTTGAGAAGTTATAGACAGAGTCAGCAACAGTCTTTCTAAGAGTCTTAAAGCTGATACCTGAATCTGTTACTTCTCTGATAAAAATACTTACTTATAAGAAGAGACTGCATCACAGTACTGCTGCTCTGCAAGTATGAAAAGTATTAATGAACTCAGAATCTCAGATTACTATAATGTCTCTAAAGCTCACAGAGTGAATACACTGAAAGATGAAAACTGAGAATCTGCTCTTATAATAAGTAGAATACAAGAACTCAGATCTGAGAGTTGAGAGATTATAAGAGTTATCTTTGAATTGCAAGATCTCTCTGAAATCTGAAGAAGATTTATAAAAACTGTGATTATTATAAATATCACAGATGACATGTATTTAAGACTTATATAACTTTAAAGACATAATTCACACATAGCTGTTCATGAGTCAGGTTTATACTTCTGATCAGTGTTGACAGACTCACTTATAGAGATAGAATCAGTTAATACTGTAAAGTTGATTAGAGAAGATAAGCTCATCTATATAATGACTTTATAAGTGTCTGAGAATCTCACAGTTATGAAAACTGAGCTTCAAATATCAGAGAAATACTGAGATCTCACAGAGATGTTCAGCTCAGTAAAGACAGCTGAGCTTTCTTCTCATTATGAGAAGAATCTAGTAATAGATTTGATATAAGAGTAGAAACTCTTCTGAGAATTAATCTATAAGCTCTTTCATTACAAGATAGAGAACTTACAGATCTATATAAGAAAGAATCTGAACTTTAAGATAATAAAGAGCTGCTACTCTCTGTCTCTGATTAAGAATGTAATTAATTATCTTATAAAAGCTGTTATATTCACACAACTGAATGTGATTAATATATATACACAGCTGTGAATACAGTCTGAGAATGAATAAAAGACTGTCTTTAGAACTGCACTGAGATTATTTGAATATCTAGTAATATCTTTTGATCTGACTAATATCTCTACAGCATTTCAGTCTTTTATTAATAAAATACTTTGTGTATATCTGAATATCTTTATAATAATATATCTGAATGATGTGATGATGTACTCTGTAAAGAAGAAAGAACACACTGAGCATGTATAAAGTGTATTGAAGATCTTAGATGAGACAGAACTGTATATTAAGCTTATAAAGTACAACTTCAGTATTTATCAGATTAATTTCCTAGAATATGTAATCACTGCATATGATATTTAGATGAAATCTTTGCAGATTGAGACTATTCTATTATAACTGAAGTTAACTAGTATTCATGAGATTCAGATCTTTCTGAGCTTTGTAAATTTCTATAGATAATTTATCTTTATATTTATAAGAATCTTCTTGACTCTTACAGACATGCTGAAGAATGAAAATAAGAAGAAGTCATCTTATAAATAAAGAATGAAAAGATTGTTAAGAAGAGAGAACTGTGATAACTTTCTTATCTCAGAAGCTTATAAGATGTTTACAAGATTGAAATAGATATTCACAGACATAGTGATACTATTTCACTTTGATTTCTTACTCTTAATCAGATTAAAGACAGATATTTTCTTCTTTATAATTTCAGAAATAGTCTTATAACTACAGTTAAATAAGAACTGAGTTTCAGTGATCTTTTTCTTACAGAAGATATAACTCACAGAGATCAACTATAACATTCATAATCAGAAGCTTCTTATAATAGTGAAATTCTTTCATCACTGATATTACTACTTTGAGAGTCTTATGACAGTAATTACTATTAGAACTGATTATAATAGCTTATAACAGTTTACTTTAATCAAGAAACTTTTACAGTGATAGATTTACTGAGCTCAGAGACTGAGTGAGTTCTGATTCAAGATAGAATATATTAAGAAAACTAAGAACTCAGCAGATGAATTGTCTCACAGATCAGACTATATTAAGAAGATCAGAGTAACAGATATAGAGAGACTAGAGAAGACAGAAAAGCTTCATAGAATGCTCAAACTGAGTGTTATAAAGAGATTAACTGAAGAGTCTCTCAATTCTCTGTAAGAGAAGAAAGAAAAGAAAGAAAAGAAGTCTATACAACTACTCTCTATAACACTGAGAGTCAATACTATGAGAATCTTTGTAAGAATTCTTGAAGAGAGTATCTATAATCTGAAGAATTTATAAGCTTTGAGAAGCA